CGAAAACCCTCCATTCAACTACTAACTATTTTTGTTTACTTTTAGAACAGTTTAGGTATATATTTACTCCGACGTAGTTATTAATGTCCCAACTACTTGCGTGCAATCAAAAACCGTTATTTTTTCTAATTATTCCCTCGTTTACCCCGGTACACACTGATCCCGAATTTCCGCCCGAGCTATTTTTTGTTTGAGAACTGACATTATTCTTTTCTGTATCTGATAGAAGGTCTAATGGGTAATGATAACCGACCAGGAATGTGGAAGCTTCCTCATTTTTGAAATTTCATTTTTCGGTCTTGGTAATTTCTATAATAATAATAATAATAATAATAATAATAATAATAATAATAATAATAATAATAATAATAATAACAATAATAATACAGGCCCCAACGATTTTTCCGGTCGACTTGTATGCATTATTGCTACCTCTGCTGTGTTTCTCTTTACCGGTACAGTCATCTTGTTGTCATACAGAAATCAGATTGTTAGTTTTCCACTTTCGTTTACATTCAGTCGCCTTTCAGAAAGTGCCACCTGATTCCGTATAGCCAGAATATATCAAACAAATCCATTTGTGAGGGTGCAACCTTATGTTACATGTTCCCACATTAATAAAATTGTATCCTTTATACATCAACTAAGGCTAGATAACATACAGGGGCCAATCTCTGTTTCGTGGTAAGCTTTTCCTCATCTTATTACGTCTGAGTTTGAAACAATCAATCTCCGCAAGCGATCGATATGAATCCGGTCATTTGCGCTACTGACCGACAATTTTTCCGTTGTGTAGAAAATGCGTGTTTTTTGAATCGGAAAGTGATCAGCTTAGGTTGCAAATGGACTTCGCTTTATTTTGGCCGCCCAGTTCTAATCAACTGATTGACTCATTATCTTTTCGATCAAGATGACAAAATTATCAATTGTATTTATTCCTCCTCTCGAAAGTGTTGTGGTGCCGACACTGTCCCAAAACGATAAACAGTTACAAGCAAGCAGTAAGGGGAATTTTTTAGTTATCAGTGTATGGGGCTGTTGTATTACTCAATCGCTCGCTCCAGATTGGGTTGCTAGCCTGAGGAACCTCACGCATCTTCGATTTAATACACTGATGGTAAAAAGAAAATGAGAACCCCACTCCACCAGAAAGGAATTTACACAGAGATCTGTCTAAATGCCTAGATATATGCTCACAATCCCCGCAATGGAACAATATGCAATTAAACAACCAGATTCGTGTAAACGGTACTCTTTTGACCTTCATTCACATTTGGTAAATGTAACAATCATCTTTCTGGTCGTGATCGGCCCTCTGTGACAAACGGACGACTAAAACGAAGTATATTTCATTGTCTGCGAAAGGGGGGGGGGAAGGATCATTTAGTAACCTCATCGTTCTTTAAAAAGGAATGTCCTCCCCGGTTCACAGCAAACACCAGAACAAGTGTAGTCTCAGTGCACGAGGGCCGGTGCAGATTCCTTTGATGATTGGCTACTATCAGAAAGCGTGTCTCGAGCAGACGATGTATCGGTGTCACTGCACTCGGTTAATTAATGATGCAATATTTCGGTTCCGTTCATTGAATTCAGTCGATTCACATTTGGATGGAGTAGGGGAAGGATTAGAAATCTGGAGTAGTGAAAGTGTAAAGTTAGGGAATATGGTTAAAAGAAAGTTGAAAAGAAGTTGAGCAGATATACATTGCTGCTCTTTGTGTGATGCTCACTCTAATCGTTGATTCAACCGATCCGGAGGTAATCCGATAGCCTGACTGACTCGCATCATTTTTCTGAGGGACTTGTTCACCTTCCCAGATTAAACTCATGAGGTTTTTTAACTCCAGGGAGGACTGTGACCAATCATTCTCAAAAGCCGATGGGGAAAATCCATTCGGCTAGGATGCCTTACACCTTTTGCGGTAACCTAATTCCCGAGCGACCTCCGTTTGTGAAGGTCGGCTATCAAATGGCAAAAGCTGTCACTCTGGGGCAAATCCAATTTCGATGGAAACCAGCTAGACTGTGTCGTAAAATATCGAACCCTTCATTCTAGGCGGTGTTGTTGATTGCGAATTAGTATGGCATCGAGCTGATCAATCAAATTATTTACGTCGCATTTCCGCGGACCCGTGATCTCAATGAGTTGGAAAAATTGAATCTGCTACCCATCTTCTTACCTTTTGTCATCTATCACTTCTTGTGTTCATTCATCAGGCTCTTCATAAATCGGTCTAGGATTTGTGCACTTTTTAATATTTAACATCTATAAGAATGCCTCAGGTGGATTTCAACATCATTTTGGTTTTGATCACGTGTTAGAACCCATTTTTGTTTTTCGATACAATTGAATTGCTTTTCATGTTCATTGGATCCTTCAGCTAGTGGCTAAACTGGGCGGGGGGGAGAGCTGAGGGACCACGGCAGCAATCTACTTTCAATACTGATTTACAGCTGACGATTAACCGGCATTGTTGATGTCTGTTTTTGGCGAATTGGTAACATTTGTTTACCAGGCTATAAATAACCTAACTCTCACCAATGGATGGTCTTTATCGACGGTTGTTGCCCGTTAATAACGACAGATTTTGACAGATATCCACTGGCGTTGGCCAATACTATATGGTCGAGTCATATTCATCACTAAGAAGAATGAAGTGTTTTCAGTTTACGAACAATCTATGGTCTGTGCAAAGTTAAAGGCGATCTCCGTTGTCCGTTCGGTTGGTTCAGATTAAATATGAGCCACCCAGACAGACGCCTTTCTGATCCGTTCTGCGATCCCGCTTTAGGGTTTTAATCACCGGCGACAAATACGTTGTCCCTTGAACGAACACTCCTGCAGTTTCGTGGAGGTCATTGTAAATTTTTTCTTTTACTTCAGGTTAATTGCAACCATTCGGCGCGTACACAGATATGCCAAAAAAGCAGCAACGATTCGTTACTGTTGATCATCACTGACTCAGTGAGAAGTGCAGCATACAATCGACAACTGAATGTGATCTAGCCTAGACGAGAAAATTCACCTTTGACACAGCGCAACCTCGACGCCCCCAACACCGCGCGTTCTAGATAGATGAAAACTAGCTCGACGCTTGCACTAAGAATGAAGTGAGCACGATGTTCAGTCTGAAGAACGCTGCATTGAAATAAGGTTTTTAATGTGTTTCGGAGATACAGCAGCATATTTCTTGATCGAACGTTGCAAGGAATGTAGCCAAGGCAGATAGTTGACCGATCTGATAAAGCGTGCAGGCATTGAACGTGGCTAAATAAAGAGAAGAGCTTGCTCTAATCAATCAGCGTGGTTCCAACTGGTGCCCAGTCAATTGCTCAGGTGAGACTGAGCGTGGTTTGACCTCTATCCATTATCCTGTTAGGCCTGATTGGATCCATGATTTTGAAACCATTCTGTGTAGCCTATTAGGCTACGGAGACACCAGAGCCACCCCACTAAGTTACGATGCATTTTCGTCCTGACAGAAAGTGAGGTTTCAGCTGCAAATGATGAACGGATACCCTGGGGTTAAGTAGAGCCGAATGCTACCAGGCCCGTCCCCTGGTTGTGGATAGGGGATACCTTCACCGAAGAAGGTTAGCTGTGAATAAGTTTTGG